GCCTGCAGCGGCACGGCATGGGAGGCACGGCGTGCCGTGCCAGCCCGACATCCTCCGGGCCGTGCCTGGCCCGTGCCCGGGCCGTGCCGAGCCGGCCTGGCCCGATGGCCAAGTATAGGGGCACCACCTAAGCACGTGTGGGTGAAAAAAACCGGCATAGGAGAAAAAACCGGGTCCTGAACGGAGGCACCACCCAAGCACGTGTGGGTAAAAAAACGACGTAAAAAAATCAGCGTGGGAGGGAAAAACGGAGGCCAGGAGGCGAGCTGCGGGTGCGCTGGTGGGCTGCGTGCCTCAGAAGGGGTCGGGTACTAAATTATAATTAGTACGCTGGGTACTAACTAACGCGGTCATATATATATATATATATATATATATATATATATATAGACACACAGAGAGAGAGAGCGCGCGCTTGGGTGGCGTGGGTGGGGGCCGCTGGGGCGGGCCGGGTGGGTGCAACCACCGGAGCGACCATTAAGATGGTGGTGGCGAAGGAACTTGTCCATACTGGCTGTGCGGTGTGCGTCTCTGCTTAGCGATGGCCCTCTGGCTGACTTTTACTGGGCCGTCATGCCGGAGGAGGTGAAGGCGAGGATCGTGCTCTTCTACGGTCACCTGCGGCAGCGGCGGCAACAGCGGCGCCTAAATTGTTTCACTGCTGCAGTGGTGCTCATGGCTTTGGAAGGTTTCGTGCTGCTCAGTCTGGTGCTCATGGGATGCTTCAGCTTAAGGGCTAGGGTGTTCCTGGGCTTGGGTTACCTTGCTCTGGTGTTCCTGCTAGATATGGGCCCCGTTCGCTTGTATTAAATTTGGCTTGTTCGGCTTGTTTTTTCAGCTGAAACAGTGTTTTTCTCTCACAACAATTCAGCGGGAACAGTGTTTTTCAGTCAGTTTCAGCCAAAGTTCAGACCAGCGAACGGGGCCATGGCTGGGAAGGAATATGGTCCATGATTATCCTTTTTTTTTCTATCTTCTACAAAATCTCTTTTGGTGCCATTGATCGATATTGCGCTCACCCTTTTGGACAATATATATATATATATATATATATATATATATATATATATATATATATATATATGCTAGGTTGTTAGCTCTTTGGTGTTCTTGGTTAATGTCGATATCACTGTTCACTGCTACGAAAACAATTTTATGAGACAGAGGCAGACATAAAATGCTCTTGTGTCTCTCAAAATGCCGAGTGATTTATGGAGGCGGTCAGGCCGTTTATGAAGGTACCACAAAAAGAACCCATCTCGATAAATCAACCAACATCTGAAAATGATGCCTATTTTTAGAGACGAACCTCTTATACGAGACCTATATCACAAAAAGGCCCGTTAACTATGTTCACAAAAATATACTGAGTTAGGGTTTGGACAATTAACAGACTCTCTCTCACAGCAGCCTTTCTCAGGCCTCCACTTGCTTCGTTCTCTCACGAGGGGGCACACGGGGGCCTCGGGTGGCGGCGACACAAGTGGGGCCTCACGGGGGTCCTCAGGATGCAATGCATGAACAGGGGCCGCAAGGGCCGTTCCGGGATCAGTGCGTGCGTGGGGATATGCGAGGAGGCGGCGATGAGGATGGCCTCCGAGCTCCTGCGCATATCTGCGAGGAGGCCACAGCAAGGAGGGCAGATGTCCCAGATTTGCGAGGAGCCGGCGGTGAGGAGGGCCACCGGCGCGGATCTGCTAGGAGGCGGCAATGAGAATGGCCGCCTCCGGTTCCGATCTGTGAGGTGGCGGCATTGAGGAAGGCAGCACCAGCGATGATGTGGGATGGTGGGAGCAACTGCGTTGATGGGCTCAGGCTTAGGCTCGGGCTAGCAACCCATCTCATGAAATTTTGATTAACACACTACTACAGAATGTTTTTTGCAGGCGAGCGAAATGGAATAACCTAGGTGGGCATCCCAACCACCTCGGTTCAAAGGTCATGGTAAATCAATCTTTCCCGAGGTGGTTCAAATGCCCGTCTCGGTAAATCTAATAAAAAATAAAAAAAAAGAGAAACCCATGGACAAGCCGGCCGAGCCCATCCATGGGCTCGCCGAGCCCATCCATGGGCTCGCCGAGACCATCCAAGGCTGTAGGATCCACGCGTGCGCGCCACCGCTCATCGGGACCGCCATCCACCGGATTCGCAGCCAGGCCAGGGCCCGCCGCTGGGAGAGGGCGCAGATCTACCACCGGGAGAGGGCCCGCCGCGGATCTGGGGGGCACCCGAAGCCGACGCCTCCGCCGGATCCGGGGCCCCCAAAGCTGCTGCTATCAGAGCCACTACCGAGGAGCTCAAGGGAGAGGTAGGCCCCCGCTGCCTCGTCTGGAGGGAGATGGCCACAAGATCCACCCCGATCCCTCGCCGCCACCGGATCCGCCCGCTTGCCCTCCATCCACACGGGATCCAAGTGTGGGGGAGCCATTAGCCTTGGCCGCCACTAGCCTCGAGCCCTCGCTGCCATCGGCCCCGTGCACCATCTCTAGAGGAGGGCCAGGCGCGGCCCCTACACCCGGCACGTGTGGACCCCGCTGCCGGTGCCTCCACCACCTGGCACGAGGGGAGAGAGGGAGAGAATATGCACCACCTGGAGGAGAGAGGGAGAGGAGATGCGCCACCTAGAGAGCTGAGAGCGCGGCGCGGATAAGAAAGGGAGAGATAGGCAGGTAGTGGGTTCAGGTTTGGTTTTCGTTATATAGTCGAGGCTGGTAATGGCCTGCTGGCTGTTAGTCGCCTGGGCCTGATTTTTGGAGGTGGACGCCTTATACATCCGCCTCCGTAAATGATTTACCGAGGTGGTTATTTTTTACCATCTCCGTAAATAAAACAACCGTCTTTGTAAATCGATTTCGCGAGACTGGTAAATATGACCGCCTCCATAAATAAAATGACCATCTCGGTAAATCAATTTCGCGAGATGGATAAATATGACCGTCTCCGTAAATAAAACGACCGCCTCTATTAATCGTCTGGTAAATAAAATGACTGCCTCGGTTAATGTTTGGGCAGTGCCTATAGTAGTGACAATGACATTGTCGGTGAAACGGAAGTGCTGCCCGTCTCTAGAAAATGTTTTTGACCAAAAATCTATACTATGGTGGTGGTTATTAGAAAAAAAAATAGGGTTTCAACTAACGTCAGGCCAAAACTCTGATTTGATTGGCTAGCGCAACTCTGCTTTGATTCCTATTAGCTGCTGCGACACCCGACGTTTGCACTAGCTCTCTCTGCTTTTATTGGTTTCCACTAACAGGGGTCTTTTAATATAGCTAGACGTGTATGACATTTATGCAACGACAAGCTCAGATGAACTTAATACGTGCGGTGTTGTTTGAAGAATTTTTTATCCAAATCATGCAAACAACATTAACTAATCCAACAGATAAGAAATTCATTCATTCAAGGTAGGATATGGTAAATCAGCCTACCATTTGAAAAGATGATGTGGATATCTTGTATTAAGAAGTTGAAAGTTAGTGGGATGACATGAGTATTAGTGGGAGATGATGTGGGTAATTAGTAGAAAATGAGGTGGATAGCTTACATGTTTAGATACAACTTTTGTGAGGATTAGCTTTATAAAAGATAGATAGATATAGATAAGGAATTGCACAGTAATTGGTCATGATCGGGCACAAAATTAAAGCAAGTCATCCCTCGCTTTGTTCACAGTACCCAACATTAGGATTTTTAGGATATGTTCACTGTTCAATAAAAATAAGTCCTGTGTGTGAACCTTATTTGTTGAAGATGATCTTTGGTAATTAAGAAAAAAACCACTAATTAAAAGAGATATATGAAGTTATGCATGCGCCATATGCATCTCAACATTTTTTTGGAGCGGATTGTATATATTTGTACGTACATGCTCATCCTATGAAAAGTTAATGTTTGCAGATATTTAAGTACATACGTGGAAAAACAGAGGGAAAACTTTTTTTGATGAATACATGTGAGGTGACTAGCACCATCTCTAGGTCTGCATAGGGTTGACTGCTGACTCGTGGACTTGTCGTTCGCGAGCCAAAGATTTTGTCATGATCAAGAATAATAATTAAGGATGCACAAGGACACAATTTGGCAGCATGCAGTGCGGAAATTGAAGGCTATTTTGGATCGGTATATGTATATATATCTAGACAAACATAGCACAATCACGTATGTACGTATAGTACTTAATTTGCGATAACCTTTACAAATTTTCAGAGAGAAAAACAATCTTTTCTTATGCTCGGTCGACAAGGGCATATGCGCATGCTTGTCCCTTTCGTACTAGTTCTACACATTGAACATGGACTTCTTGACGAAGTTATATCCATTGAACAAGCAATAATATCTTGGATGACCAATGTGTTGTCTTGGACAAAGTGGACTGATTTTTCATCACATATCTAGATGCATGAACTATCTGACACAACTTCTAACAAACACGAAACACGGCAGTCAATGCAAATCTTGGGCAATCGTTGCCAAGATATACACTAGAGTATTGGTTTCGGCTAGACGCTCGTCTACGTGAACAATGGTTGGTGGAGACGTCGGCTTCATGCGTGATGCAAATTTACGCGAGAAACTTAAGATGTCACGGTGTTGATTTACAAACAAAAATAAGTCCAAATTTAGAAATATGATTATGATTTTAATAAAAGTATTACTCTTTATCGCTGCATGTAACCTACACATGATTTCCACTGTCATTGTCACTGAAGCTGGATTTTCGGTTGGGTGCGCGTTCATACTCGTACGGATTGTGAAGTGGCTCATCGACAGAGCTAGCCACCACGAAAATCAACTTTCATGGGGTGGCACTTTCCAATTGGCAATCGTTGGCACCATCTCAGCATTCTCAGTCTAGGGTTCTTCTCCAACAAACAAGGGCATTATTGTCATTGCGCTGGCTCTTATACTTTTCTAACTCAGTCTGGCCGGCCACCTATAAATACACACATACTCCCTCCTCCACTTCCAAAGCAAAAAGAAGCAAGCTGCTAGCACCAATGGCGGCCTCCTCGTCCTCGATCCTCCTCGTGCTCCTTGCCGCCACCTCTGTGGCCTGTGCGAGCGCCTCCACCTTCACCATCAGGAACAACTGCGGCTTCACGGTGTAGCCAGCAGCCACCCCAGTGGGCGGGGGCCGGCGGCTGGACCCTGGGCAGACGTGGAGCCTGTTCGTCCCCGCCGGCACCAGCTCCGGCCGCGTGTGGGGCCGCACGGGCTAGCTGCTCCTTCAATGGCAACAGCGGGAGCTGCCAGACGGGCGACTGCGCTGGCGCGCTGTCCTGCACGCTCTCCGGGAAGCCTCCCATGACGCTGGCCGAGTTGACGCTCGGCGGCAGCCAGGACTTCTACGACATCTCGGTGATCGACGGCTACAACCTCGCCATGCGATTCTCCTGCTGCACCGGCGTGACCCTCAACTGTGGCAGCTCCAGCTGCCCCGACGCCTACCTCTTTCCCAACGACAACACCAAGACCCATGCCTGCAGCGGCAACAGCAACTACCAGGTCACCTTCTGCCCATGATGATGAGGCAGCATGTATGGATGTGTCGCATGCATTCACGTAGGGGATCGGAGAGTAATTTTGACGATAACACGTCAAAGTGTGCATGCATGCATGTGCACTCGCGCATATGTACCTGAACTTGTGTACCAACCATTATATTATACAATAAAACAATAAGTCTCTGTTCTTATCGTGTTGAAAAAGTATGGAAGCAGCAGGAGGAAAAATGTTCTTGCCAGGAAGAGGTTAGACAAAAAATGAAGATATAATCCCAACCCATGCAGGGAACCCTAATCCCAACCCAAGCTGTGTTCCTAAGCTGAATACTTGTTGCGGTCCCTAATCTCATCCAATGCAGGCGACACCTCATTCCAACTCAATGTGCTAACTCGGAGCCTAATCCGAACAAGTGTTCAATGCCCAACACACAACAAGGTGCTAAACTAGTGGGTGGCGGTGGGGAGGGGGCAAATTCATTATTATATATACAAACCATTGCATTGACCCAAAAATAGGAAAAGTTTCCAATTGATCGGGGAAGTTATTATACAACCCATGTTGCACACACTCGTGTGGGAGGTTCTTGAAAATAAAACAGTTGCATGAATGAATTAAACCTACATGTTCTTACAAAACTAGTCTTGTTAAGATTAGGCAAGGCAATGAAAGAATACAATAAAAAAAATAACAAAATTGGATCGAGTCATAAGACGATGTATGTCAAAACAAATAGCAATATATGGATGTCTTGTATATTTCTTATATATTGGAAGTAGTAATTTCACTTAGTGGAGATGATGTGGATAGCTTATTTTAAGAGGTCGGAAGTTAGTTCGTGGGAATGACATTGCTATTAGTAGGAGATGATATGGACAATGTAGGAAATAATGTGATTAGCTTGCTTGTTGAGGTACATACAACTTATAGTTACAGTGGGGATTAACTTTACAAAAGATATAGATAAGGAATTGTGCAGAAATTGGTTGTGATCGGGCACAAAATTAAAGGAAGTCGTCGCTCGCTTTGTTCACTGAACCCAACATTCGATACTTTTATATTCACAAAAAAATGGTTAAAGCTTGTCTCTCCACCATTAATTACTTAATATTTTAGGAGTTTTAGAATATGTTCACTGTTCAAAAAATAATTATAATCATGTGTGTGAACCTTTTGTTGAAGATAATTGTCGGTGTTTCGAACAAACACCGACTAGTAAATTTATATTTGTTGCGCGTTAGGCTCGGATGGTGTACTAAAGGACACAAGGTTTATACTGGTTCGGGCAGAATGTCCCTACGTCTAGTTTGCTGCTGCTCGTGTTATTAGTACCGAAAAAGGTTCGTAGTAGGGGGTATAAACGGTCGAGAGAGGGACAGGTCTCAAGTCTCTGATGGAAAGGTCGAAAGGATGCTAAGAACTCGGTTGCCGCTTGGCTGTGTGTTGTGTGTGGAATCGATCCGTCCCCTAGTGGGGTGCCTTGCCCTCTATTTTATAGACCAAGGGGAGCAAGGATTACAGATGGGCAATGTTTTCCTAAACGGTACACGGTCTTTACACGGCCGCCCTTCGTTTAGCGTTTATGCTGTTTACACAGTGTTTAAACGAAGTTAAACGGTCTAAACGGTTTTGTACTTTAAAAAAAATACATATAACACTACTAAATTTTAACCCTATTGCATCACGTCCCCTTGCACCAAAAACAAATCTGATGCAATAGGTGACTGCTATTGCATCAGTTTTCAAAATTTGATGCAATAGGTGGTCGTTATTGCATCGAAAATGAGTTGGATGCGATAGTAATTCATGTCGATGCAATAGGTATGATCTATCGCATCATTTCGAATATGGGATGCAATAGATAGAAATTATTGCATCGGACACATTTGGTTGCGTTAGTATTGATTTTTTGATGCAATATGTAGGTGGTATTGCACCGGTTTAGAATATGGATGCAATTAGGAAGTACTATTGCAACGGATTTGTGTCTGATGTAAGGTCACCTTGCGACTGAGTAGCTAGCTGGTGGGACCACGTGTAAGTTATTTTTTTTGAAATAAAATTGACTAATGTGAAAAAACATCTTGCGACTGCCTAGGTAGCTGGTGGGACCACGTCTAAGTGAATTGCCAGTTGGTGGGACCATGTCTAAGTGAATTTTTTTTTGAAATAAAATTGACTAACGTGAAAATAACACCTTGTGACTACCTAATAAGTGAATTGTTAATTTTAAGAAAAATGAGACATCTAATAAGTGAATTGTTAATTATTTTTTTTTAAAAAAATAACAGCTAGGACCACATCCAAGTGAATTGCTAATTGGTGGGACCACGTGTAAGTTAATTATTTTTTGAAATAAAATTGACTAACCTGAAAATAATTAAAAAAATAACAGCTAGGACCACATCCAAGTGAATTGCTAGTTGGTGGGACCATGTGTAAGTTAATTATTTTTTGAAATAAAATTGACTAACGTGAAAATAATACCTTGTGACTACCTAATAAGTGCATTGTTAATTTTAAGAAAAATGACACGTTTAATAAGTGAATTGTTAATTATTTTGAAAAAAAATAACTTCTTGTGAGGGGAAGAGGAGTCAAACCTGTGCCCCTAAGACTGTCCAAGTCGTGGACAAACCACTAGGCTAGTTGTACATTGTTGCATGAACTGGGCTAGTTTGTGTGTGTGAGTGTGTGAGCAGCAACTAGCAGGTTTGAATTTTGTGAAGGATTATTTTCTGGAATAAAATCTTCCCTTCAGAAGAGTAAAAATAATCTTGGCACTAGTACCTCACATATTAAATATCACTGTAAAACAACAGATTAACAATACTCTCCAAATTGCTTGTTTTCCCCTTGCATATCGCAGTCTATACTTGCCAAGATATATATGCTATCTGAAGTAGATAGTAATCCTATCAGAGTTCGAAGAATAATAAAACAAAGCTTCATGCATTGTACAGGGCTTCGCCGCCACCGTGGAGGCTGCAGGACCTAGTGCACGCGGTGCTATCAGTGAACACAGACCGTGTGCGCCGCATCGGCGTACGGGGGCTGGCTGTGTGGCGGAGAGCTAGGATGCAGCGGCGTCGGCCTCAGCCTCGGCGAGCGGCGCGGAGGGAGGCGGACTCTTCCCCGGCGGCGGCGGCGCTCGGCCTCCATCCAGGCGGCGCGGTGGCAGATCCAAGCCGTTTTCCGCACCATCTCCTCGCCCACTACTTCTCCTCCTCCGATGGGGTCAGCGTCGGTGGCCGGGCCATACGAAGGGGGCGATGGACGTGCGTCGGTGCTCAGCTAGAAGCGCGACGAGGCGGCGAGGGAGATGATGGTGGGGTTGATGACACAGTGGGGCGCACGCGACGGCGGCAGCGGCCGGTAGAGGGCCCCCGCAGCGGGATGCGCGACCTCCGATCCAACGTGGATGGCGAGCGGCTTGGCGTCCCTGGGCGCCCGGCAGACTCGCCTCCTTGGCCAGCGCCCTCGCGCCGTCGCCCTCGCCTCGTAGTCACGGGTGGCCGGGTAGGTGAGTCACGGGTGTCGTCATGGGTTAGACACGGTTTTGAGGAATCACCGACGTGGGCTGGCCCATTACGACAATTGCCTGTTCTCCAACGCTTCTACTCCATTCCGAGCACTGAGCAAGCATATTAGTCCCAAATCGCCTATCCACCGATGTAGTGCTCTGCTTAAAAGTTGAAGGCTGCAAGCTTAGTCGAGCTCACTACCTATACGACCACCATGACCACGCTACACTTTGTTGGGCCTGTTCTAGCCAGGCCGGCCTTGCTGGGCTCCCCTGTTTGGTTGAGTCTTGTGGGCTCCCCTATAGGGTTGAACCTGGCGAGGCCAATGGCTTGGCTAGTACATAGCCAGTACTTTTGTGTTTTTTAACAATTTTTGTTTAACTTTTCGAATTCAACGTGTTTTTAACAATTTTTGTTGGGTTATTTGGATTCACACCATTACGATTTTCGTTCTTATGAGATGTACCATTACAATTCACCTATTTGGAAACTTGCCATTACAATTGTTCCCATACCCGATTCATGCCATTTTCTACTCTTGGAACAACACTGGACCCACTTGCAGACTGCCGTATTTTCGTATAGCCAAAAATACCCCTCTGACTACCCTTTCCCCCACTCAATGACATGTGGGCCCACATAGTCATCCCCTTCCTCTAACCGGTCACCACTTCCCACCTATGCGTCTTCATGCGCTTCAGCTGACCAAGGGCTCAACGGAGCAGCGGATTCGAGTTCCTCCCGGCCGCGCGCCCAGATCTGCCCATAGCTGCGGTGGGCCGACATGTCCGCACGCTGAACAAGCTCCTCAATCGTCCTAGGAGAGCTCCGCCCACGCTGCTCCGAGCCTCCACGGTCACCGCCGCCAACGTTGCCGCCGCTGCCCATGTCCTCACCAGCGTGCAGCCCTTGGCCCTACCATGCTGTTGCTCCTGGCCGGCCCAGAGCTCGTGGAGCACCTCCGTATCACCTGCCGTCTATCGTAGGGCGGACTACGACGCGGCTACGGCCGCCGGCTCGCCCAAGCTGTGGCTACGCTCGCCAAGCCAGACCTGAGGCGCTGACGACAAGTGGAAGGGGGTTCGCCCCGATGTCGCAGACTGAGATAAAGGGAGAAGGCGGGGGGGGCTCTAGGCGGACAGGCGCGCCGGTGGGCAGGGGCCATCTCCGGCGAGGTGCAGATGGGGGCGGGGTGGGGCGGGCAAGGGAACGCTGATGGGAGAGGAGGAGCTCCGCCCGCCATGGTGCGTGGGAGCTCTGCCAGCCATGGCCGCGCGCGAGCTCGAGGCAGAAGAGCTCCGGCCCTCCATGGCTGCATGGGAGCTCGAGGCGGTAGAGCTCCGGCCCTCCATGGTCACGCGGGAGCTCCTCCCCGCCATGGCCGAGGGGCACGACGGCGGCCGACGCCCACTGGTCGCCATGGGAGTTGGGGAAGAAGCTGTCATGGAGAAGACAGGGAAGAAAGGAGGAAGAAGATGACTAGTGGGGTCCACACGT